CAGGCCACGTGATGGCGGGTGGGACACTGCAGCTCCTGGAGCTTCCCGCCGCATCCAGCTTCCGCAGCGGGCCCTGCCCACTGAGTTCCAGCCTCCAAACCTGGCACACTAACTCACTCCCACCCCCACATCCTCCAAGCCCCCCTGAGCCCACTCACCTTGTGGATCTGGAAAACAAGGTCGTAGAGCTGAACCCGCTTTAGCAGAGGGAGGGGGAAACCCTGGGCCAGCTTCTCTGCAGGTCGACAACATTGAGAGAAATGCGTTGATAAACGACAACTACAGCCTTCCTCAAAGTCTTTGGCTCTTTGAAAACTCTAGACACAGTGCCTTACCACCAAAGACTATGAGGTAGGTACGATATTATAGTATTTTATGGATCAGGAAACTGAAGCACAGAGTAGCCAAGTAACCTGTCCTTGACCATACAGCTAGAAAGTGGCAGCACTGGGATTGAGCCTAGCAAGGCTGGCCAGGGCTTCTAAGCCATGAGCCGCGGTGCCTTGCAGAGGAAAAGATAGGTGTGCGGAGGGTCACAGCGCGGCGCAGGTGGGTGTCTATTCTCTGCCCTCTGCCCCACCCTCCTTTCTGTTGCAGCAAAATGAAGCAGCGCATCATGGAAACAAAGTTTGGGCTTTTATGCTTTATTTTTTGCCTAAGCAGTAAGGCAATGGATTCAGAAATATGAATTCAAGGTGGCTGCCCTGGGCTCTCGGTATTAACCCTGTCCTCAGTCTTTCCCCTGCGCTTCCGGGTGTGAAGGGTATAGTCTGAGTCTATTTTCCCTTATGAGGAGGTCGCTGTGTGTCAAATGCCTTTGCAGCTCCGCACCCCCACGAAGCCCCGCCCCCACCCCCATCCCTAACCTCCCCACCCCAACCCTGAGTCCAACTTCAACATCCCATTTCATGGGAAGGCCACGGGAGCTCAGAGAAGTGACTTATCCAAAGCCACATGGCCCTCAAGAGAGCCTGGGTTCCCTGCTCCAAGTCAAATTTCTCCCAGACACCAGAGGGCTCTTTTGCACTTTTGGTTTAGAAAACCCATATTGATTCTTACCATTCACCTCCGGGTAGACAGTGTTGAGCATGAAGTAATTGAGGAAGCCTCCCATCAGCTCCTCCTAGTGGAGAACAGAAGTATATTGAGACCATGTAGGCTTGGCAAAAGAGCAGATTGCAGATAGGTACCACTATTATTTGTAATTTAAAAGTAATCCAGGGCTGGTGAGATGGCTCAGTGGTCTAAAGCACCTACTTAGAACAAGCTTAGCAAAGCACAGGGACCACGGTTCAATCCCCCAGTACCACATGCCAGCCAGCCCAGCCCCCTGGTGGGCTGAGCTGGCCACACACACACACACACACACACACACACACACACACATAAATAAAAAAAAGAATTTAAAAAAATTTAAAAAAAAGTAATCCAAGGTGAACATTTATACGTATGCAAATGAATAGAGTTGTTTTTTAAGACTACATGCCTACTGTCTTCCTTTAGAAAGAACATCAAGGGTCAACTTGGCCATTAGCCTTATCTTTAGCACTTAATTTCTTCAAACGGTGAGAGGCTTTCCTGGTTACTTGTGTAATCTTTTAAAAATTAAGTGAACAAAATGGGCATCTCTACAAAAATTATGAAACACAACTTTAAAAACCTACTATATGCCAGGCAAAGGGCTCTGAGCTGTTGAGCCTCACAACAAACCCATAGAGAACAGTTTTCCTGTGTGTGTGTGTGTGTGTGTGTGTGTGTGTGTGTGTGTGTGTGTGTGTATATGCACGTGCGCACGTGTGTGTGTTTCTGGAAATTAAACTCAAGGTTTTTTGTGTGCTAGGAAAGCACTCTAGCACTGAGTTACATCCCCAGACCTTTTTCAAGTTTTCTGCTTTGAGGCAAGGTCTTACTATATATCCCTTGGTTAGCCTTGAACTTTTGATTCTCGTGTTACAGCTTCCCACGTAGATAAGACTATAGGTGCTGGCACATCTGGCTATGAAGTTCATATTAATGTCCTCATTTCACAGAACGGGAAACTGAGGCCCACAGAATCAAAGTAGAAGCTGGGTAGCAGGGTCAGGATATGACTCTGACATTTTCTGAGGTGACAGCTGCTAATGTTCCCATTTCACGTGGATGACTTTGCAAACCTACCTGTGACTTTTGCTGGGCAGGACATTTTTACATGACATGCCCAGATATGACATGCCAGTATTGTTATTCACATCACTGCAAGGAGGCTTTCTTTTTTTCTTCAAGGTGGCTTTCTTGGGGGCCCATGGACCATGTCCATCTACACAGAAAGTGTGGTGAGGGCGCTCAGAGGAGGCCATCATGAATAGTGGAAGGGGAGACCATGACCTCAAGCCAAAGTCCATTATCTCTTCCTGGGAGGAACAGCTGCTGTCACCTCCTTCCAGAAAGCTCTTCAGCACCCCCCATCTTCCTATTCTTTCGCCACCTTTCTTATGGGACTATCAACTTTACTGCTTTGTCCTTGTGAGAATCACACCACAGTTTTGTCTTCCCAGCTTTCAATTCCTTGTGTTGATGCCCCAGACCCTCTCTCCCTCGGGAATGCTCCTTTCCAATCTTAGTTCCTGTGCTTTGCGTAGCTGACTACAAATCTTGGATCTAGAACTTCACATGAGCTCCATGGTTGGCTGTTAGTTCCCTAAGAATGGGCACCTAGCTGGGTGTGGAGGCGCATGCCTGTAATGCCAGCACCCTGGGGGT